AGCTTGACTCTTGTTCTATGATGTCATTTTGAAATGGTTTGCCCTTAGTCCCTATTTCCCGTTAATTATTGTTGAATGTACTTCCGCGACCGATGAAGTGTGATGACAAGTTTGAGAGGCTTGCTTGGGGTTCCTTCGGGTTCCTCATTCGCCATGTCACGTCTAGGCCCTAGGCTTGGGTCGTGACATAAATGGGTTATGTATGTTTATGATGTATTGCGAAGCATATGACTTTGTATTGTTGGTTGTGACTTATATGGTGCCTATTAAGTTGATGTTCATGAGATTTTATCAAAATGGCATGAAAGCGTAACTTCCAAACAAATGTCCTTTTTAGCATGTTTTGCATATCCTCATTCTTAGTACGTGTTTTGTACTAACCCCTTTCTTCTATTTTACTACAAGTGTAGGTTGTGGTAATTAGGAGGAGATTGTGCTTTGGAGTTGCTTGGATTGCTTCACTCTTCCAAGTCTTTGTTATGTCCTCAAGATTCGAGGACTATGTTTAGAAGTTTCTTAGTCATTGTAATAGACACTTAAGTTTCATTTCATTTGTAAAGGGCCGTGTCCCTTAGTACGTTTAAGTTCTTGTCTAAGATTGGCTAAAGAGACTTAGTAGTTCCGCTTGCGTATTGTTGTTTTCAAATGTTGATGACTCTTGAAGTCTTATGGTTTTATTTAATAAAAGTTTTAAATTCTTATTGATTTTTTATTATCTATGCGATGAATGAATGCTAAGGCTTGTATAAGACCTCCGAGAGGTTGAATATGCATGTAACGGCTAAGGGGTGCTCTCGGGTCGTTACAAACTTGGTATCAGAGCATAAGGTTTTAAAGTTACTTTTAGGTGCAAAGTCTCGAAAGCCACGTCCAGCAGAGTCGTATTCATAGGTGTGAGTCGCGACACATCTATGAGCGAGAGGCTATAGGATGATAGAAGTTTCACTTTCTTTCATTATTCTTGATGTCGTGCCTTAGAGTTTGGTCTATAAGTGTCCTTTTCATAATCCATCTCTTGTGTTTATAGGATATGAATACGAGGGCTAATCGGAGGAGAGCGGAAGAGGAGATAGATGATGGGAGAGTTCCTCCCCAAGGAGTGCGAGTCGACCAAGCTCCTTTAGGTGGGCAAGAGAATGCTCCCCCGGATATGACTAATGGGGAGATTAGAGAGGCTGGCCTGCTCCATGACTACACAATAAAATAGAGATGTGAGGCCTAGGGTGAATGCTATTGAGAGTACCGTGGCCTCAAGGTTGAGGGATTTCACAAGGATGAACCTTCCTACCTTCTATGGTTCTAAGGTAGATGAGGACCCACAAAACTTTATAGATGAGGTGTTTAGGTATTTGGATGCAATGGGAGTGACTCCTAGGGAGAAGGCGGACTTGGCTTCCTACCAACTCAAGGATGTAGCTCAAGTATGGTTTGAGCAATGGAGGGATGAGAGACCCATAGGGGCTGACCCAATAGATTGGGGAGTGTTTAAGACGGCCTTTATTGATAGGTGTTTGCCCTTGGAGTTGAGGGAGCAAAAGTTGGCTGAGTTCATGAACCTACGTCAAGGGAATATGAGTGTGAAGGAATACTCTCTCAAGTTTACCCAACTCTCTAAGTATGCTCCTACCTTGGTAGTAAATTTTAGGGCTAGAATGAATAAGTTTGTGATGGGGGTTTCCGGTTTAGTGTAAGAAGAGTGTCGTACGGCCATGCTCCATCATGATATGGATATCTCTAGGCTTATGGTTTATGCTCAACAACTTGAGCAGACAAAGCTTAGGAGGATGAATAGAGATATGAAGAGGGCTAGGCCGAATGATAAAAACCAATCTAGGTCTAAGAAGAGGTTCTATAACCAAGATTCTTCAATGGTCAACAATGATGGGGTGTCTAACGCTAAACCTCAAAGAGGTAATGGAGGTGGTTCTACTTTTGAGAGGCCTAGGTGTGCTACTTGTGGAAAGCAACATTTGGGCAAGTGTCTTGCAGGTACGGATGGACGCTTAGGACGTGGGAGTAAGGGTCATACGATGAGAGATTGCCCTACACTTAAGGCAAAAGGGAAAGAGACCATTCAAGTTGCTCATGATGGCCCGGATCCAAATGCTCCTAAGAGGAACCGTTTCTATATGCTTCAAGCTAAACAGGGATAAGGGAACAAATGAAGGTAAGTCAATTTTCTTTGTTGTTTGATGATAAGCTTAGATGGGTGGGGGATGATGAGTGGAGTAGTAAGGTTGTTGATATCTTTATCTTTTCCTTCTATTCTAATTCAAGCTTGAAAACAAAGAGTTCTTAGTAGCATGTTGCATGTTGGAGTCTTATGTGAATTGAGTTTCCATATTCACGTTATGATGTGCATATTTTAGTTGAATTCTTGTTTAAGTAAATAAATAAGTTTTCATGATTATGTCCCTCATGATTTATATGAATTTATGAAGAATTGTTTAAATTGATCCACGAGATGCCTAGTTGATCATGCCTTGATGTGATCTTGAATAAGATTTTGAGATAAATTGTATGGAGCCTATAAATGTTGTAATGAGCATGATATGCTATGGAGAAGGAAATTCCTCCAAAGAAATGAGAAGTGGTAAAGTTTTGTGCATATTGAGTGGTAGATGTTATTCCTACTTCCTTGAATTGCATGAAAGTCTTGTTGTAATGCTTTTTTATGTCGAGTTGATGTTTCCTCCTTGATGTGTGCTGTAGTAATTATATTACATGCTTGTTGTGGACTGCTAGTCCTAGAGTCTTTACTTTATAATGTTAATGTGTCATTCGAGGACGAATGTTCCCAAGTGGGGGATATTGTAACATCCCTCAAAATGAAATAGGATAATTGGAGCTTCACATGTGTGTTAGTTAGTAGTTGATAAACTTGTATAAATGTTTGAAAATGAGTTTATAGGTCAGTTTAGTTGAGTTTGAAGTCAAACGTCAAAGAGACGTTCGAAAACTAGTCGTTTGCGTGCTAGTGTGTTCTAGTGTGTCTTGCATGTTTTTATGTGTCGTATGAAGTCTAAAATCAGTGATGGTGACCCTACTATCCTAATAGGCATGTTTAGGGTCCCAACGTCCGGGTACGACTCCCCAAGGACCAGCCTAAGGGTCCTTGGAGAGGACCCAAACGTTGGCATAAAAGGCTGCCTAGGCAGTATGTTTGGCGGTCTTGTTTGACGCCCAGGGTGACGCCTCGTCAGGCCATTGACGCCCCGTCAAAAGGGGGCGTAGCTCCACACGTAGTTGTGGAAGCTTAGCCCCCAAATGTTGAGCCTCTGATTAATTGGTGAAGGTTGAGGTATGCATGGTAACTGCACTTTGTGTGACCTTAAGGTGGTGCCTTAGCAGGGTGAGATGGTATGGGACGTTGCCCATACATTGCACAAAGGAATTTGCTTAAGGGTTACTTAAGGTGGAGGTCCAAGGCAAGAAGGTAAAGGTAAATGGGTTATGTATGTTTATGATGTATTGCGAAGCATATGACTTTGTATTGTTGGTTGTGACTTATATGGTGCCTATTAAGTTGATGTTCATGAGATTTTATCAAAATGGCATGAAAGCGTAACTTCCAAACAAATGTCCTTTTTAGCATGTTTTGCATATCCTCATTCTTAGTACGTGTTTTGTACTAACCCCTTTCTTCTATTTTACTACAAGTGTAGGTTGTGGTAATTAGGAGGAGATTGTGCTTTGGAGTTGCTTGGATTGCTTCACTCTTCCAAGTCTTTGTTATGTCCTCAAGATTCGAGGACTATGTTTAGAAGTTTCTTAGTCATTGTAATAGACACTTAAGTTTCATTTCATTTGTAAAGGGCCGTGTCCCTTAGTACGTTTAAGTTCTTGTCTAAGATTGGCTAAAGAGACTTAGTAGTTCCGCTTGCGTATTGTTGTTTTCAAATGTTGATGACTCTTGAAGTCTTATGGTTTTATTTAATAAAAGTTTTAAATTCTTATTGATTTTTATTATCTATGCGATGAATGAATGCTAAGGCTTGTATAAGACCTCCGAGAGGTTGAATATGCATGTAACGGCTAAGGGGTGCTCTCGGGTCGTTACAAACTTGGTATCAGAGCATAAGGTTTTAAAGTTACTTTTAGGTGCAAAGTCTCGAAAGCCACGTCCAGCAGAGTCGTATTCATAGGTGTGAGTCGCGACACATCTATGAGCGAGATAGAAGTTTCACTTTCTTTCATTATTCTTGATGTCGTGCCTTAGAGTTTGGTCTATAAGTGTCCTTTTCATAATCCATCTCTTGTGTTTATAGGATATGAATACGAGGGCTAATCGGAGGAGAGCGGAAGAGGAGATAGATGATGGGAGAGTTCCTCCCCAAGGAGTGCGAGTCGACCAAGCTCCTTTAGGTGGGCAAGAGAATGCTCCCCCGGATATGACTAATGGGGAGATTAGAGAGGCTGGCCTGCTCCATGACTACACAATAAAATAGAGATGTGAGGCCTAGGGTGAATGCTATTGAGAGTACCGTGGCCTCAAGGTTGAGGGATTTCACAAGGATGAACCTTCCTACCTTCTATGGTTCTAAGGTAGATGAGGACCCACAAAACTTTATAGATGAGGTGTTTAGGTATTTGGATGCAATGGGAGTGACTCCTAGGGAGAAGGCGGACTTGGCTTCCTACCAACTCAAGGATGTAGCTCAAGTGTGGTTTGAGCAATGGAGGGATGAGAGACCCATAGGGGCTGACCCAATAGATTGGGGAGTGTTTAAGACGGCCTTTATTGATAGGTGTTTGCCCTTGGAGTTGAGGGAGCAAAAGTTGGCTGAGTTCATGAACCTACGTCAAGGGAATATGAGTGTGAAGGAATACTCTCTCAAGTTTACCCAACTCTCTAAGTATGCTCCTACCTTGGTAGTAAATTTTAGGGCTAGAATGAATAAGTTTGTGATGGGGGTTTCCGGTTTAGTGTAAGAAGAGTGTCGTACGGCCATGCTCCATCATGATATGGATATCTCTAGGCTTATGGTTTATGCTCAACAACTTGAGCAGACAAAGCTTAGGAGGATGAATAGAGATATGAAGAGGGCTAGGCCGAATGATAAAAACCAATCTAGGTCTAAGAAGAGGTTCTATAACCAAGATTCTTCAATGGTCAACAATGATGGGGTGTCTAACGCTAAACCTCAAAGAGGTAATGGAGGTGGTTCTACTTTTGAGAGGCCTAGGTGTGCTACTTGTGGAAAGCAACATTTGGGCAAGTGTCTTGCAGGTACGGATGGACGCTTAGGACGTGGGAGTAAGGGTCATACGATGAGAGATTGCCCTACACTTAAGGCAAAAGGGAAAGAGACCATTCAAGTTGCTCATGATGGCCCGGATCCAAATGCTCCTAAGAGGAACCGTTTCTATATGCTTCAAGCTAAACAGGGATAAGGGAACAAATGAAGGTAAGTCAATTTTCTTTGTTGTTTGATGATAAGCTTAGATGGGTGGGGGATGATGAGTGGAGTAGTAAGGTTGTTGATATCTTTATCTTTTCCTTCTATTCTAATTCAAGCTTGAAAACAAAGAGTTCTTAGTAGCATGTTGCATGTTGGAGTCTTATGTGAATTGAGTTTCCATATTCACGTTATGATGTGCATATTTTAGTTGAATTCTTGTTTAAGTAAATAAATAAGTTTTCATGATTATGTCCCTCATGATTTATATGAATTTATGAAGAATTGTTTAAATTGATCCACGAGATGCCTAGTTGATCATGCCTTGATGTGATCTTGAATAAGATTTTGAGATAAATTGTATGGAGCCTATAAATGTTGTAATGAGCATGATATGCTATGGAGAAGGAAATTCCTCCAAAGAAATGAGAAGTGGTAAAGTTTTGTGCATATTGAGTGGTAGATGTTATTCCTACTTCCTTGAATTGCATGAAAGTCTTGTTGTAATGCTTTTTTATGTCGAGTTGATGTTTCCTCCTTGATGTGTGCTGTAGTAATTATATTACATGCTTGTTGTGGACTGCTAGTCCTAGAGTCTTTACTTTATAATGTTAATGTGTCATTCGAGGACGAATGTTCCCAAGTGGGGGATATTGTAACATCCCTCAAAATGAAATAGGATAATTGGAGCTTCACATGTGTGTTAGTTAGTAGTTGATAAACTTGTATAAATGTTTGAAAATGAGTTTATAGGTCAGTTTAGTTGAGTTTGAAGTCAAACGTCAAAGAGACGTTCGAAAACTAGTCGTTTGCGTGCTAGTGTGTTCTAGTGTGTCTTGCATGTTTTTATGTGTCGTATGAAGTCTAAAATCAGTGATGGTGACCCTACTATCCTAATAGGCATGTTTAGGGTCCCAACGTCCGGGTACGACTCCCCAAGGACCAGCCTAAGGGTCCTTGGAGAGGACCCAAACGTTGGCATAAAAGGCTGCCTAGGCAGTATGTTTGGCGGTCTTGTTTGACGCCCAGGGTGACGCCTCGTCAGGCCATTGACGCCCCGTCAAAAGGGGGCGTAGCTCCACACGTAGTTGTGGAAGCTTAGCCCCCAAATGTTGAGCCTCTGATTAATTGGTGAAGGTTGAGGTATGCATGGTAACTGCACTTTGTGTGACCTTAAGGTGGTGCCTTAGCAGGGTGAGATGGTATGGGACGTTGCCCATACATTGCACAAAGGAATTTGCTTAAGGGTTACTTAAGGTGGAGGTCCAAGGCAAGAAGGTAAAGGTAAATGGGTTATGTATGTTTATGATGTATTGCGAAGCATATGACTTTGTATTGTTGGTTGTGACTTATATGGTGCCTATTAAGTTGATGTTCATGAGATTTTATCAAAATGGCATGAAAGCGTAACTTCCAAACAAATGTCCTTTTTAGCATGTTTTGCATATCCTCATTCTTAGTACGTGTTTTGTACTAACCCCTTTCTTCTATTTTACTACAAGTGTAGGTTGTGGTAATTAGGAGGAGATTGTGCTTTGGAGTTGCTTGGATTGCTTCACTCTTCCAAGTCTTTGTTATGTCCTCAAGATTCGAGGACTATGTTTAGAAGTTTCTTAGTCATTGTAATAGACACTTAAGTTTCATTTCATTTGTAAAGGGCCGTGTCCCTTAGTACGTTTAAGTTCTTGTCTAAGATTGGCTAAAGAGACTTAGTAGTTCCGCTTGCGTATTGTTGTTTTCAAATGTTGATGACT